GGGCGCCTGGCCGCGCCCGCGCTCGCTGCCGCAGGGACTCGCGGGCCAGCGCCCAGAACGCAGGGTCCCGACGCACCAGTCAGTCATCATGAGCATTTTTTTTTTTACCGTCAGTCAGCATGAGCAATCAAGTTGGCGCTGGGGAGAGGGGGAAAAGAGCATGATGAGGAGGCGGCAGCGGAGGAGGGAAGAGGATGGGGAGGACGGGCGGTTCGGAGAAGGATCTGCACATGCCGCGGGTCAACGAAGGCAAACACTCTCCACCCCATCGCTGTGCTGGCATTTTCCAACCAAGATCAATCCGTGAGGGCACTTGGCCAGGAACGGGGCGAACACGTCTGTGCTGCCTCCCCACTCTGCTCCCTCTCTTCCTCAACATGTTTCACTTTCTCACTCCTTTGGCTTCACTCAACGTACGTACTGTATACTTGCAGTGAAATTTCCGTTGACATAGCTGTTTGGTATTACTATGTCGTCGGCATCGTCCCCACCGTCGTCATGATGATGATGATGATGATGATGATGATGATGATGATGATGATGATGATGATGATGATCATCATCATCATCATCATCATCATCGTTGCCGTTGTCGCCACTCAGATGAATTTTCCCGACGAATTGCGGGTAGGTGGGTAGGAGGTTTGCACGAGCATATAAGGTGATTAAGCACGAATGCGGTCACGATTAATTGTACCACATCGGGTGCACATCGAGAGTGCAATAACCCGTTGTGTGGCGTCTAAACTGGCAAGCATTTCTCGTTTCCAATTGTACGGTGTTCTCGTAGTCTTCCGAGGGGGAGGACGATATGCTGGTGTATTCTTACTGGTATTATAGATGTGCATGCGTGCGTGCACTCATGTATGCATGTACGTATGTACGTATGCATGTGGCATGTGTGGATGCGCGCATGGATGTTTATATGTACGTATGCATGTGTGTATGTATGTCTGTATGTAACGTTATGTATGTTTGTGTGTACGTGTGTGAATGCATGTTTGTAATATGTACGTATGTATCTGAATATGTTTGTATATATGTTTGCATGCACGCATATATTTATATATACATATGTATATGCGTATATGGTTGTGTGTGCATGTATGCAGGCATGCTGGGTGTATGTATGTATATGTGCATGCAGGTTTGTATGACATCTGCATGTGTGTATGTGTGTATGTCTGTACGTACTGATATATGCGTATACAAACATACATACGAGAGAGCGCGTTTCACGGGCGCATGCCTTGGGAATATTCGGCGGCGCGTTTCGAGCCGGGGGGTGGGCCCCCCCCCAACACTCGGCGCCGTCGATCAAAACAAACCAGGGGGACTTCCCTCCCCCCCCCCCTCCCGAACCCCCTCCGGGGGGGGGGAGGGGGAATAAGACCGATCACAACCACTTCGGACTGTTCGGGAACTACTTCGGTCGGATTGAAACCACTGGAAACGGACTGATCGCAACCTAACGGATTCCTATACAAACCTGTCAGGAGAACACCGGATTGCAACCGATCCAAGAGCTCCTGCTGAGGCTTCTGAAACGTTTCTCTGAGGCCTCTGAAAGGCTTCTCTGAGGCCTCTGAAAGGCTTCTCTGAGGCCTCTGAAAGGCTTCTCTGAGGCCTCTGAAAAGGCTTCTCTGAGGCCTCCGAAAGGCTTCTCTGAAGCTTCTGCGAGGCTTGTGGGAGGCTTCTGCGAGGCTTCTGAGAGGCTTCTGAAATGCTTCGGAGAGGCTTCTGCGAGGCTTCTCTGAGAGGCTTCTGAAATGCTTCGGAGAGGCTTCTGAGAGGCTTCTGAGAGGTCCTGCTGCGAGGCTTCCGCGAGGATTCTGAGAGGCTTCTGAGAGGCTTCTGAGAGGCTTCTGAGAGGCTTCTGCGAGGCTTCTGAGAGGCTTCTGAAATGCTTCGGGGAGGCTTCTGAGAGGCTACTGAGAGGCTTCTGAGAGGCTTCTGAGAGGCTGCCCCGCAGGCCCCACAGGTCCCACAGGTCCTGCGTGTCGCACGGGCGCCAAAGGTCTCGCACCCCGCGCAGGGCGCACACGTCCCCCAGCCATGGTTCCCACAACCACGGCAGGCCCAGACCGCCTGGCGTCGTGACAACATCTGTTTTTGTTTCGGGCTCGGGGGACCATCGCCGGGCCCAGGGGCCGTCCAAAAGTGACTCAGTATGCAATGCTGGTCTGCTGTAGGTTCATGCGGCGTTGGCGCGCCGGCGACGTTGGCGAAGGCGTTCAAGGTTTCAATTTGCGACGCGGAAGCTCCGAGGGACACGTTGGGCATACTGTACTCGACGAAATTCAACATTGAACGATCGGGGCCGCGATCGATTCAAGGTTGAACGATCCATGCGGTGCCAAAAACCTTGCGGGTGCCGACGCCGCACGAACCTACCGTCGGGGAATTCGTCCAGACCTTTGGGGGTCGACGTCCTGGAAAAGTCATGACGTTGGGGGTTTTGGCCGCCGCGTCTACCCGCCTTGCCATCCTGGCCTCTTCCGTTTCCCCCCCCCTCCTCCTCCTCCTCCTCCTCCTCTTCCTCCTCCTCCTGCTCCTGCTCCTCCTGCTCCTGTTCTTCCTCCCTCCCCTGCTCCTTCTCCCCCCCCCCTCCCCCCCTCCTCCTCCTCTTCCTCCTCCTCCTCCTCCTCCTCCTCTCTCCTCCTCCTCCTCCTCCTCCTCCTCCTCCTCCCCTCTCCTCCTCTCCTTCTCCTCCTCCTCCTCCTCCTCCTCCTCCTCCTCCTCCTCTCCTCCTCCTCCTCCTCCTCCTCCTCCCTCCTCCTCCTCCTCTCCTCCTCCTCCTCCTCCTCCTCCTCCTCCTCCTCCTCCTCCTCCTCCTCCTCCTCCTCCTCCTCCTCCTCCTCCTGAGATGCAATTTGTTTCACGCCACGCGTTTTCGCTCAGTTTCGGTTTCAACCGTATACGAATCACATAGGAGTCGTACGGATCATGGCCACGTTCGAGCTCCAATACATGTGTTTTAATTGAGATCATGATCGGCCGTCTGTGACCGGACCGATCGCAACAGCTTTTTCAGATTCCGATTGGGCGGCTTACGAGAAAACATTGAACCCAGAAGCGCTCTCATGATCTCTTCCTGAATTCCAACTTCATTGCAACGACCCAAAAACATCGCAACCACTTCGGACCGATCGCAACTGGTTGCGATCGGTCCGAAGTGGTTTACGATCGGTCCGAAGTGGTTGCGATCGGTCGTGCTCGCGGGGGGGAGGTACCCCCCCCCCTCCCGGCGCCGGCGCCAGAGCCGGCGCTGGCGGCCGCCAGCAGCGCCGACGGCGGGGACGCCGCGACGATGACCAGAGGCAGCCTGGGGGGGGGGGGATAAAAACCCTTTCCCCCGCACTGGCGCTGGCGCCGGCGCTGGCGGCGGCCAGCGGCGCCGGCGCTGGCGCTGGCGGCGGCGGGGACGCAGCGACAATTACCACCACCACCACCACTACTACAGCCACCACCACCGCCTCAACCCACCACCGCCACCAACAACCCACCACACAACCACCACCACCACCACAGCCACCACCACCACCACCACCACAAAAACCCACCACCACTACCACCACCACCACAATCTACCACACCACCACCACCACCACCGTCACAACCACCACGACTACCAGCAGCACAACCCACCACCACCACCACAAACCACCACCACAAACCACCACCACACCACCACCACCACCGTCTCCACCGCCATCACTACACAAACCACCGCCACCACCACAACCCACCACCACCACCACAAACCACACCACACACACCACCCACCACCTCCACCACCACCACCCACCACCACACCACCACCACCACCACCACCACCACCACCACCACCACCACCAAAACCAACCACCACACACCACCAAACCACCACACCACCACCACTACCACACCACCACCACCACGCCACCACCACAAGAAACCACACCACCGCCACCACACCACCACCACCGCCACCACCACACCACCACCACCACCACAACCACCACCACACTGTCGTATTCGTCGACGCTCCCCGCCGCCGCCGCCTGCCGCCGCAGGTTCCGGCGCAGGCCCAGAAAAAGAAATCGTCGTCCCCGCCGCCGCCGCCAGCCGCCGCCGACGCAGGCGCCAGCCCGAGGAGAGGAGAGAGAAGAAGTAGGGGAGGAAAAGGGGCGGCGGGGGGGGTTCGACCCCTCCTCCCCGTCACGGGAGGGGGGGGTGGGGGGGGTATTCGAAGCCCCCCCCCGCTCCATCCAGGGGGGGGGTCCGGTTCCCCCCCCCCTCCAAGCGACTACAGAACGCGCTCTTTGAGACATACATACATACATACATACATACATACATACATACATACATACATACATGCATGCATGCATGCATGCATGCATGCATGCATACATACATACATACATACATAGCACACGCACAACCTACGATCAACAACATATCCCACATGCGTTTCGAATCGATTCCCTGATTCTCCGCTTTTTCTCCCGCTCCCCTCCTCATCCCATCACGACCACCATATGCCAGACGCCAGAAGGTGACCAGCTCAAAGGATTCATACAACAGCCGTGCGTCCCATGGACCCGGGGGGCCCCCTCGGGGACCCCCCGACTTTGCTTCCGCCAGCCTTCGGTCCACGAGGCCGCGCAAGTTTGGCTCCCGCCCTCCTCGGCCCAACCTCCCGCCGCCTCCCGCCGAGGCAGGGACCGCCGCCCTCTCGAGACCCCGAGGGCCATGCCCTCTCTGGAGCCCCCTCTCTGGAACACCCTCGCCCTTACCCTCCCGCCTCCCAGCTCCGCCTGCCCGGCCGCCTCCGCCCCCCGCCCTCCGGCGGCGGCGCGGGGCGGCTGCGGGCCGCAGCTGCGGGCCGCGGCGCCCTCCCGCCCCTCCCTCCTCCGCCCTGCTCGGCCGCAGCGCCCGTCCTGCTCTTCCCGCCCCCGCGCAGGAGTGAGGCGGTGCTTCTCCCTCCTCCGCCCTGCTCGGCCGCAGCGCCCGTCCTGCTCTTCCCGCCCTCGCGCAGGAGTGAGGCGGTGCTTGAGGGCAATCCACGCCGCGGCGCCCAGGAAGCTGACGGCCCGGAAGATGCCTCTGCGGGGCGCCCGCGTCCCCGCGGGCAGGCAGGTCGCCCGCCTCCTCTCCCCTCCCCTCTGGCCGCCTGCGCTTTTTTATGCCTCTCCCCCCTCCCCTCCTCCCCCTCCCCCTCCCCCTCCCCCTCCTCCTCCTCCTCCTCCTCCTCCTCCTCCTCCTCCTCCTCCTTCCCCTCCTGCCTCTCCACCCATCCCCTCAGCCGCCGCCCCAGCTCAGGGGCCTCGGGTGCAGCTTCCAGGAAGCTGCGAGCCCCCCGTCGGGCGGCGGCAGCGCGCCGCCCGCCCGCGGCGCCGTCGGGCGGTCGGCCGCGACCGCTCGCGTGCGCCGGCAGCCCCAGCGGGCTGCAGGCGTCACCACGGCGCGCGGCAGCCGAGCGCTCCTGGCACGCAGCCAGGCGAGGGCGATGCTACGCATCGGCGCGCATCGGCTCGGCAGCACGACCTCTTGCCCAGCATCACAGCAGCGGTATGGGCAGCAGAGCCAAGACCAGGGGCTGCGCGCACGTGGCCGATCCCCATCCCCAGCGGCGTGGCCTGGGCCCCGCTGGCCGATTTGCCCCCCTAGATGGTGATATAGGCCGTTCTCTTTGGGTTTCGAGGGGTGCACCCACAACTTTTTTCCACGGCAAGAAGGCAGAGGAGAAGGAGGAATCCGCTGCCCCTCAGGAGGGCTATACCAAATGCGCACCCCGAATGAAACCGAATGCAAGAGCCAGCTCCGCACAAACGGAACCAACACAGCGTGGGAACATCTGTCCGGCGAACGTGGCCGAAACTCTGGCCACCGATTCGGAGGAAACAACTGGGTGGTAATTTGGTGGGGGTCTCGAAGGGGATGGGGATGGGGACGCCGAGCTCAAGCAGAGGCGGCCGCTCCAGAGGCCGCTCCGCCTCCAGAGCCCCGGCATCGGAGGAGGAGAAGGACCGCAAGGGTCAGGTCGGGCCTGTCCCCCTACAGGGGGAGTTTGGGCGAAAAATGGGAAATACTCAAAACATACCCCCTAATGTTCGAACATACTTTTTAAAATGGTCCCCAGGCTATTTTTTGACTATTTACGAATATTGCCCCTGTAGAGGGACAAGCCCGACGTAACGCAAGGGCCAGGACGCGCGCCAGGAGCACAGCGTTTTGCAGTCCGTGCACCTCTGCGCTTGCTCTTCTCAGGAGCGGGTCAGCAACCAGACCAATTACATTGCGAGGGCCAACGCGCGTCTCGAGGCCCAGTAGGCGGAGCGCAGCGCGCTCATCGCCTTGGAGACCGCGCAGAAGACCAGGGAGGCGATCGTGCTCGACATCCAGCAGACCCAGACGACGCTCAGCACATTCGAGTAGCTGGCGCAGGAGGCAGCCACCGCCGCGGCAGCAGCCGCCGCAGCTGTGCCAGCGACTCCGAGTGCAGTCACCTTTGTGGACGATGACCCACAGATCGTCAGCAGCCCCTTGGCGCCGGCGTGCGCAGCGAGCTCTTTCGCGGCAGCTGTGCAGCCTACACCCCTCCACTTCGGCTGCCACGTCCCCGATCACCTCAGCGGAGTTGCAGAAGAACCAAGCCACGCTGACAGCCAACATGATTCAGTTGCAGCAGAGCGTAGCGACCATTCAGGTAGCCTTGCAAGGTGTGCAAATCTCCCACCAGACAGGGATGCCGAGATCAGAGGCCACTGCCTTGCCCTCAACGCTAGCATCGCCCACCCATGCAGTCTCGACTGGGAAGCCTGGCCACATCGGCCAGGGAGGGCGCACCGCGGCAGCGAAGTTGCAAGCAGCAGCGATGGGGCCAGGCCAGTCTAAGCTCAACGTGAGGCCCGTGGAGGCTATCTCTGGGGGGGCGGAAATGCCAGCGGGCAAGTCGCATTGCCTGCCCGCCGCGGAGGACATGACCGTCAACATGGCCGCAGGCTCCACACCGGAGGGCCCTATCACGGAGGACGATCCCGCCGAGCACGGGGCCCGTCGACCAGACCCACGTGCCCACGCAGCAGCATTTTTGACTCCCCGACTCGCAGTACAGCAAGGGGAGGTTGCAGGCATCGATCGGGACAACCTCCACTCTTCCACACCTGTTGGCAACAAAGCTCGAGAGTCGGGGGCCAAGGGGTGTGCTAAAGAAGACTCTTAGGTCGGGCATGTCCCCCTACAGGCCGATTCTCGACGAAAAATTAGACGTACTCGAACAACAGTCAAAAACAGTCAAACATACAAAAAATCGTCCCCAGACTATGTTTTACTATTTTTGAATATTCCTCCCGTAGAGGGACAGGCCTGACTTAAGAGGACTCATCGTCTGCTCCCTCGGTCCGAGGTTGCACGTGCAGCCCCCTTCCCGACACCAGATCCACAGGACAGTCGTTGCTCGTCCGTTGGAGCAGGCCATTGAAGGGCGCCATATTGTCTCTTGCGAATTACTGGCGTTCTTCTACCATCAAGGCCTTCTCTGATCTATCTCAGCTAGCTGACCTGTGCAGCGTAACCGACATCCACATGTATACGTATGTTTATACATATATGCGTATCCATAAATATGTATATAGATATAGATATGTGTGTATATGTCTGTCTGTCTGTCTGTTTATCTGTCTGTGAGTCTGTCTGTCTGTATGTATGTTGCCTGCACGTATGTATGTATGTATGTATGTATGCATGTATGTATGTATGCATGCATGCATGCATGCATGCATGCATATATGTGTGTATGTATGTATGTATGTATGTATGTATGTATGTATGTATGTATGTATGTATGTATGTATGTATGTATGTATGTATGTATGTATGATTGTATGATTGTATGTATATTGTATGTGTATATATGTATGTGTATACATATGTATGTATATATGTATATATATGTATATATTATATATTATATAATATATATATATATATATATTCATCTCCCTGCGCACGAGGCGGGGGGGGGGGCCGGGAAGGGGCCCTCGACACTCCACGGCGGGGAGGGACCAGGCCGCCAGGGACGCCCCCAGACGGCCCAAGGCAGCCCCAACACAGCTTAACACGCCCAATCTGGCCCAAGGGGTCCCCAAGAGCACACCCAAAAGGGACCCAACATTCCAAATGGTTTTTGGTACATTTTAGCGTTTCTGCTTGTTCGGCTTCCCGACGCTCCAAAACGGTCCAGGACACCAGAAAATCATCCAAACCGGCTCCACTGGGGCGCCGAGACGGCCCAGGGCCGCTCCCAGACGGCCCAAGAAAACCCCAACACTGCTGACAAGGGCCGCAAGAAGCCTCCAAGAGGCCCCGAAACGCGGACACATCGCTCGAACACGCCCGAGATGGCCTCCAGATGGCCCACGAGGCTTCCAACACGGCCCACGGGGTCCGCAAGAGACACCCAGAAGGGCCCCCAAGAAACCAAAATCATGGATGTTCCTGCGGTTTTGGGCACATTTCAACGTTTCTGCCTGTTCAGCTTCCCGACGTCCCAGGGATGCCCCCAGACGGACCAAGACAGCCCCAACACCAGAACTTTTGAATTTCCTTCGGTTTGTTGTGCATTTTAGCGTTTCTTCCTGTTCAACTTCTCGACGCTCCAAGACAGTCCTGGACACCCGAATATCGTCGCCCCAACAGGCCCCTACGAGGGCGCCGAGACGGCCCATGGACGCCCCCAGACGGCTCGAAACAGCCCCAACACAGCTGAAAAGGGCCGCGAGAGGCCTCCAAGTGGCCAGCTGTCACCGAAATACTGCTGTAACGCGCCCAAGATGGCCTCCAAATGGCCCACAAGGCTTCCAACACGGCCCAAGGGGTTCCCAAGAGCGCACTCAAAAGGGCCCCAAGAAGCCAGAATCGTTGATTTTCCACATGGTTTTTGGTACATTTTAGCGTTTCTGCTTGTTCGGCTTCCCGACGCTCCAGAAGGTCCAGGACACCCGAAACTAATCCAAACAGGCCCCCACGAAGACGCCGAGACGGCCCAGGGCCGCCCCCAGACGGCCCAAGACAGCCCCAACACAGATGAACCGCAAGAGGCTTCCAGGAGGCCCCGAAACGCGGACATATCGCTCGAACACGCCCAAGATGGCCTCCAGATGGCTTGCAAGGCTTCCAACACGGCCCATGGGGTCTCCACGAGCACTCCTCCAGTAAGCCAGAGCCGCTGCTCTTCCTCAGGTTTGGATGGATTTCAAAAGTTCTGCCTTTCCAGCTTCCCGACGCTCCAGGATGATCCCGGACGTCCACCTATCGCACCAGCTCCTTCGCCTGCACGGCTGCAGGATGGTCGTGCTCGCTGTCGCCGTCCTCCTCACTCCTCCTCCCTCCTTCTTCCTCCGTCCTTGTCGCCCCTCTCCTCCTCCCTCCTCCTCCCTCCTCCCTCCTCCCTCCTCCTCCCCCTCTCCACTGCCGCCGCCCTCCCCCCTCTTCGGTTACTGTCGCCCCAAGAGGCCCCCCACGAGGGCGACGAGAGTCGGCCCAGGGACGCCCTGCCGCGGGCACGACGCGGGGCCCGCGGCG